TCCTTTTTCCCAAAATTTTTGCAAAAATCTTAAATCACACACAGCAATGAATTATCCAAAGCCCCCCGCACCTTGCCCCTGTTTTTTACCTTTTGGAAAACTAAAACCACAACCGCAGTTCCTTGCAACCGCCCATCCTCCCCCCTCCCTTTTCATCGTATTCATTAGTTTTTACTAAGAAGGACTTCCCAAAACATTCCAATCTCACATAAAACTCCCCAGGCAAGCCACCCAAACCCGGAGCCTTACCCCGTGCCCCTCCCTCCAAAGCCCCCCACACCCCCCCCTTTTTCAATATCCCCCCCCAACGCCAAAGCGATCACTGCCCAACCCTTTGCAAAACAAGATACATTCTCCCCCAACCTCCCGAAAAGCCTCCCCCCCACCCCTACACTCAGTTTTAAATTTTTTTTTTTTCCCAAAACCCCCTATCAACGAATCACTCAATTGCCTCCGTTGTTTCTTAAAATCATGTCCCGCCCAAAATCCACCTAAAATCCTCATGTACCACCAGCCTATCAATTTTCCATAAACCATAAAGTCGTGCCTCTGTCCCCTTTAAAAACCCCAGGCCGAAGGTCGTTTACCCCACAACCCCCCTCTTCAATTCCACCCTTTCACTCTCAACCCCGCATCAAAACTAACATTCTGGCCCAAAACACGAATCCTTCCTTTTAAAAAACTCGATTTCCTCCATGGGATACTGCCCGCCTGCACGCCCCCCCTCATAACAACTTTTTCCAAAACCCACCCTCGAAAAAAATGCCCGCAAAACCCAAATCATCCAACCCCTGTACTTTTCCCCCCCTCGGGAAAAAACCGCCGGATCCTCTCCTTAGCTACCCCATCCCCCCACCCCCCAATCACCCACATCCCCACCCCTCCCCCCCAAATTCTCCCCATTTTCCCAAAAACTAACCCCCCTCCTCCAAACCCCCAAAAAGTCTCACATTTTTAAATTCCCAAAACCCGGAACCTCCAGGTAAGCTGGCCCAAGTCAAGTCCGTATAAACAGCTCTATGATCCGTGTAAAACTTCTTCCCCCCGTAAAAGCACAAAACATCACTCGCACACTTTTTTCGTCACATATAAAACCCATCGGCCGGGGGCCCCGAAACCCTGTCTAGAAACGTATCTCAAACCCTTTGGTCCCCCCCCCCCCAAAAACATCCCCCTTTCCCCACGCCCCAAAAAAAAAAAACCCCCCCCGCTAACCAAAAAAACACCCGCCCCCCCTGGCCCCCCCCCATCCTTTTTCTACTACCATACAAATTTCCCAAACACAAGGGCCCCTGATTGTTTTCCGAGGGAAGAGATCTTTAAAAATAAACCAAAACATCCCCGCACAAAAATTTAATTTTTCCACCCTACATCACCCTCCGCCGGGGGCATACACACAAAACCCAAAATGCCAGTTTGCTCACCCCTCCACCATCCATCTAAACCCCAAATACCCTAAACCCCCCTCCCTCCCTCACATCTAATTTTTAACAAAAAGGGCCCTTTTCTCCCGAATCAGAATCCCCCCCCCACCTTTTAAAAGGTCCGAAAATGCCAAAAAACACACGATAAACCGTCCCCATTTTAAATCCCGAAACCCCCTTAAAAAATTATGCTCCGCATGAAAAACAAAAATCTAAAGCAAAGAAAAACCCCAGAAACCCCTGGAGCCACAAACGCTTTTTACATTTATACACAACCCAATTTAAAATTCACATCCTACCCTGAAAAACCCTTTTTTGAAGGGGTTTTTCCGCTGCCCGTAACTCCTTTTATAGACACGTCACCAGCCCCTTTCCCATTTTTTTTTAAACCCCCCTCCCCCAAAAGTGAGCTCAATTCCCTCCCCGGGCCCAACACCTGACCGGAAAACACCTGTGACGCCTCCACTCACCACAACAAACCCCCCCCGGTTTTTTTTCCCCGGTCTTTTTCGCCCGGGGGCAAAACATCAAACGGGAAACAAGTGCTTTTCCCCCCCTCTTCCGCCAACACTCTCTGCATCCATGGCTGGTCGGGGATGCCTCACAATGCACCTCCGCCGCCCCCTCGACCACCGGGGGCCATTCCCCTAGAAGAGGCACCCGCAACAAACTGGGTGTTTTCTCCTCTCGTCCTCCAAATCTCCTCAGGTCCCCACCACCCAATTTTCATCATCTTTCCCCTCTCTTTTGTCCCCCAAAAACTTTTTCCCCCAAAATGCTCCCGAGGGCCCCACCCCCCGCTCGTTCTCCTCCACTCAACTTGGTCTCCCCCTTCCCACCAAAGCGGAGACTGTAGATTCTACAGGCCTCGATGGCCTTTGACCCCAAACCCTCCCGGGAAAATCTCTCTCCACCTCCTCACTCCAAGACGAACTATGGGCCCCTTTTCAGGCGTCCCGCTGCAGGCCCCCCCTTCGGGTCAGGCCCTCCGGGTCCTCCTTCGGGCTGGGAACCTGTCCCTTGCGCTGCCCCTCACACTGTGCTGCCATATTGGCATAAAGGGACCCCATAGCCCCGCAGGGGTTTTTCGCTGGCCCCCGCGTAATACACCAACACTTGCGTCCCAAAACGTCCAGGATGACAAAAGACGGAGGGGGCCTCAAAGTCATCTTTAGGGTTTTAACGTACCCTCCGGGCCCGCCGGGTACGGGCCCCCTCCACCCAGTACCTCCATTTCCAAAGCACAGTTAAACCCTAACGCCAAAAAAGTTTTGGAAAATCTGCCCTTTTCCCGTTCGAAAAGGGACGTTCGTACCTTCACCCAAAGGGATGTCGCGACAAAGTCAATTAAACGAACTGTATTGCCGAGTTTACGTCCCCACAGCCATCTTGAAAACTGCCCCACCAGCGCTTTATTTCACTTCCGTCATCGTAGCTTTTAAAGAATTTCGGTTTAAAAAAAAAAGCCCCCGTTGAGCCCAAAATCCATACAAAACTGATCACAATGCCGTAAGTGTCGCGAATAAACAAAGGTAAAGCACCCGTGCGGGCAGGCGTAAATTTAAAACCCCCCAAATAAATTTAAAGCACACATGTTGACGCGCCTTCTGACAGTCCGGCGCCAACTTGTGAAAATCAATCTGCGCAGGAAAAGGGCCCCTCACCCCGAGCGTGGGGGCGCAGCACAACCTCACGGCAATAAACGATGAGGGCAAAGAGTGTGTGTGTTGTGTGTTTGCGTGTGCGGGTGGTGTGGGTGTATGGCTAAGATGGAACCGAGGGAAGGTTTCCCGTGTGTTTTGTAGGTGTTTTGGAGGTTAAAATGGGGATCTAGCTTTGGATTTAAATGTGTGACCAGTTTGATAGTGGGGAAATTTTGGTTTTTAAAACTTTGCATGCCCTGTCCCCCGGGATGACTGTATTACCCTCGGTAAATAACACCTTGCTATGCTTGGGCACTTACCATCACACCTCTGTCAGAAAGGGTTTAGGTAAAATATTAAATTTTTTAGAGGGATTGGGAAACATTATGCAAATAAGAATGCCTTTGGGGGTGGTTTGTTTTGATTGAGATACTGTTGCGATGTGACAGGGTTATATCCATGTACAGCTGGGGGAAAAGAAATGACCCGGGAAATGTAAGCCCGCCGAGAGACAATGGGGGTTTTTCTAAATGAGGGAAAGAGGGGGGGGGGGGGGTAAAAGAATGGGTTTTTTTATAGGAACAGTAAAAAAACGTTTCCCTATTTAAAGGGGTTTAAACTCTGAATGGAGGTTAAAGAGATAGGATTATATACACAAATACGGAAAACGGTTTTTTTTTTTCAAACTATTCAACTGTGTTACCTTGTGTGTTTGGGGACCCAGAGGAAAAGTTTTTCAACTTATTTTTAAGCACTTTGTTTTATGTAAAAAATTTTTAAAAATGTTTGGTTTTTGGGACATTTAAAGTGTATAAAATTTAGGGCACAAACCCCGGTACTGTTTTTGTTAAGGTGCTTTTGTTTTTGAAGCAAGTTTTTTTAAGTATGGTTTAACCGTTACTTTTACAGAGTTTTTTTCATGCAAGTTTTGTAGCATTTTTTGTTAGGGTGTGGGTAGTAAATCGTTTAGTTACAAGGATGGGTGTATTTCTTATTATAGCTTCATGTTTAGGATTCAGTCAATCATGTATGATTACATGTATATTGTATACCTGTGCTCTAAATAAAACATACAAAATTAGGGGATGAATAGCTACGGAATGTTTAGATACATAAAATGCTAATATTACAATGTACAGTAGAGGCCAAAGCATTTTTTTATATATAAAACATTGTATATTACAAGTTTCATACAGGGTCGACACCATGCCTAACCCTTCATGGATAGGGTAGGTGCCTGAGCCCGAGCCTTTAGCTCATAAGACTGTCATTCCCATTTGCCCCCTTGGGGCGGGGATGGCAGACCAGAGAGGCCTAGCTTGTGGCTAGGCCTGGGGACAGTTTGGTTTCCAAAGATAAAGGGGGGTACTTGTGCCTCCTCCCATGGGAGACTTAGGTCTCAGACACTCCCTAAAGAGGGAGCCAAGGCCGGGCCACCACTTGGAAAAGGCCCGGGCCGGGAGAATACCGGCGAATATTTAATAATAATAATAATAAGTTTCATACAAGATATGAGTTTTTGGCTAGTGGCAATTTTATTATGTATGTTCAGGGGTAGGTTGTCATCCGTTAGTTATAAGGATGTTTTCTTATAAATGTTTCATGTATTGTGACTCCGTCAATGTGTGATATGCATGTATACTGTATATTTTAAATAAAAAATAAAAAAAAAAACCTCTACCAGCAACGATTCAACTTCACACAAGGTTCTATGGACCAGAGAGGTGTATGTGTATGTACGCCGAGAGTTTGATTTAATCCCTATTTTAGGCATTAAATTATTCTCCATCGGTGGTGAACAAACGAAATGCAGTCTTATGACCGCCTCACCTAGTCGATAAACTTACAACCCAGTTAACCAGCTTCGGGGATTCGAAACCGGCGCTGAGTGAGAGTTACGAGTGAAGTGTGAAGGTTTCCTGAGTGGTGAGCTTCAAGCCTCAACTAGTTGTCCTCCATCACAGCCAAGTTCACTCTTTGTTCAGTGTGGATTCTCATCATTCTGACGTCCATTGAGGTTTTGTGCTTTGTGTGTGAAGGAAAGCTTATTGTCTATCGTAATGTGGTTTCCGGTGACGTGGTTCGTTGTATGGTAAGAAGTCTTTTTGATATTCTTCATTGTGCTACTTGATTTATTCATAAGTTTTGAGGAAAATTAAAGCTGTAGACGAGCTTCGAATAAATTACTTATTTTTAATGTAGATCTCTCTTCAAATACTAAGTACTAACGAAACGTTTTGTCCTAACAGTAGACAGTTTCAGGAACTGTCTAGGGGTGGGGCTGGGGCTGGGAAGGAGTTAAGTGAGGTCTTTGCTTGAATTTATCACTGGTAAATTCTTCTTATCACACGACTTGTTAAAACTTCTAAATATGTAATTATACACAAATATGATAATCTCTTTCATTTAGGACTCTAAAACATCCCTCATTCCACACCAGTGTAAACGGAAAACACTACTGCAGAAATCCCTCTCGTCGGAGGACCCGTCATCTCTGCTCCCGCATCCCCTCGAGGAAGGTTCCTTGATGTTGGTGAGGGGCTCTTGATTTAGGGAATTGGATCTGTGCTCCATTTCCCCGAATTAAGCCCGAATGCCTTCCACATCCCCCCCCCAAGCGCTGTATAATCCTCCGGGTTTAGCGCTTCCCCCTTGATTATTATTATAATAATGCGCCTGCAGAGAAAGCACTAGAATCTACTAGTGCAAATTCCCCCTCCCCTCTTCCCCTTCCTTTTTTTTTTTTTATATATATAGTTATAAATTAAGACTCGCTGATCTTTAGCTGCAAATGAAATTTACTTTCTTAGCTCTACCCTTGCTCCCCAGCTTAAATTAGTTTTTACGGGATCAACTCCCCCCGTGGCTCTATCAATAACCAGGTCTTGATGAATCGAGGCCTAAGCAGATAGTTACTGCTGGTCGCATGCAATCCTACATACGAACAGCCCGGTTCCAAAAGTGCAAACTTTAGGACTGTCCAGTTCCTTGAAGCAGCCACGAATTTATTGGTTATTCCCCTTGTGTATGCTGAGTAGTTGAAAAGGGAGTAACGCTTCTCGTGGCGCCCCTGCTCCTCTAGGAAGGGTATATCCCCCCCCCCTTACCCAGCGGTGTCTTTCTGCCCTCCGATGATTTCAGCGTACAGATTTGGGACTAGTCACACTATTCTCTAAGTGATCGTTCAAACACTCTCCTTTCCTAATTTGAATAGGATACACAAGGAACCGTATGTCTGCCTAAAGGTTTAAGGCTTCTGATAAAATTTAGACATGGTACATCGCTGGAACATTTACCTATGAATCTTCTCTACTTCAACGTAAATCCGTACCCGTCGACGAGACTAGGGCAACTGTTGCTGCCTTCTTGCCTACCATATCTGAAGGTGCGATTTAACAGCACTTTGACAAGGAAGAATAAACTGGATTTGACAAACTGTCACAGCAACAATCTACCTTCAAAACTCTTCGTGAATAGTTTAGTGTAAAGATAAGGAGGGAATTAACTTGCCGTGTCCGTACCTCCCTGGATCTCCCAACCCCGCCACTCGTGCAGACGTCTAACGTAAACATTAATTTGTATGCTCTTGGCAATGCGAAATCAGGCTAGCAATTCGTTGAACTTGTGAATTTTGCTTTCTTATTTTCCAGCATGCAAGTGTGTGGAGTATGGAGCGGCATGGCTCCAGCACAACCATATATGGGCCGCAGGAAGGACTGTCGGTGTGTACCTAAATCTGAAGTCTGCGCCATAGAAGTACTTCCCCTCTCAGTCGTCGCCGCCTCGTCCTTCGCTGTCAGTGCATTGAAAAGTTTATCCTGGTGTAGAGCGGAGGGAAAGATATATGAAGGGTCTTCATACTAGACCCTTCCAAACCACCTTAGTTTGGTTTACCTTAAATCTAATAACTTTAACTTTTCCCCAATCTAACCTATAATTACGCTTAAATTAGTTTCTCTTCCAGCCATATACTTGCATCTTGGGTACTCGTATGTGCTGTGACTCTGAGGTCCCACATTACCTCCATACTGACGACTACGGTTCCAGTCCTCCAGACGTAGATACACTGATGGTGAAAGTTTCTTCCTTGGAACGTTACCACGATAAACAGCTTCGCTACAGCACGGGTAAAGTTTCTAAATCGGTAAAACTGTGTTGTAGATTTAGTCCATTTTGCGGATTTGAACTGTTGGGTCGCAATTCCTCTTCCCTCCTTGCTTGCTTTGTTTGTAAAATTAGTGATCACTTTGCTAAACTAGTAAGGTGTAGCAGTCTGTGTTCCTACAGAGCCTTGCTTAAACCTTGTTCACTCTTGTTAATAAACTTTAACTTTAAATATTACTTTTAGCATAGCAAGCTAGTCTATGCTAAAAGTAACAATCTGTTTTTTTCTTTTCAGTTGGTAAAAGAAAGAATACCATCTTTAATCTCGAAGAGCCTACGACACTAAACGAAGAGGAATCTGAATTTCTCGTCTCGGACGCTTATTCAGATCCTCTTATTTTAATAAACTCCCACTTGACACTGCCTAGTGACACTGAAGATGACACTGACTATGTTTCTCATTCTCTAGTAGAAAAGACCGATAAATATCTTATTACACCCAACGAACATGAAAATCTGCCAGACTCTACTGGGGAAAGTAGAGACACTCGCTCAGAGAGTGCTAACGGAAGCTTAGGCTACAACTATGGGCGCTTTATCGAGAATAAATTTAACTTATTTTTTACCAGATATGCGGATAATTCGTCAAACTCTACCCAGTTTTCTGAATACAGGAACTACACTTCTGTAAATGCCACTTCAACATTGCTTAACAGTTCACCAGGAAATACTCAGATACAGTCTGCCTCAGAAGAGGTAAGTGTTAATCTTCCTGACTCTCCGTATATCTTTTCTCTTCTGGCTACTAGATACACTGATACTATGGGTGTCACTAAAGATTCCACGAGTACTAACCAATTTAGCATATCGAGCGAGGACCTTCAGACTTTGGAAACTACATTGAGCATCTCCACTGATAGTACACCAGTGGTACAAGCTGAAGCAACCTTGACTTCGACAGTAGAAGACGAAAGTGACTCGAATAGCTCTGCCTGTGACCCTTCACTGGCACACTGCAGTAGCAACAAAACACCAGTTGCCGAGCTCGATGCTGTTGACCAACCTGAAGACAGTGTAGCAAGTAATGAAAGTTTGCCGCAAGCTGTATTTAGTATGTTGGTAAGTTCTAATTATTCTAGTTCAGGAACTTCCGAAGATACTGTACTCTTGGATAATCTTTTAGACGTCACCACTCCGCCTGATGAAGATTATGGATTTTGGTACTGGTTTTGGACTTGGTTTTTTCGGGTAACTTGAGAAAATGGGGTTCCTTACATCGAATGAAAAGTATAAGGCAAGATCGTTCATTGGAAGCTCTGCTGGAGTTTGGTGAACTATTGTGAATATGAAGCCTCTATATAAACTGCTTCCCCTCAACTTGGTTTGTAGCTAAGTTAAAGATTCTGACAAGCCTGTTTGGTGCTACCTCTTTTATGCGTGATATCTAGGTTTGTTTTAAGTGTAATTTTTTTTAAGTTCTAATAAAGTACTATTTTTGTTCTGTATTTTAATTTAAACCTTGTCAATCCTAAGGTAGTTAAGCATATACCTGGAAACTTCTACCAAAGAATTTAGCTAATTCATATCTTCCCTTTCCCTAACTTCCCCCCCCTAGAGTTGCCTTCCCAGAGCACCTTTAAAGCTGGTAACTTCCCTTTTTTCGGACTAATTAAAATAAAAATTGACTCTTAGCCTGATTACCTCCCAGGTTCTGTTTAACTCTGGTGTTGATACTTGCTTGTGACTATTAATCTGTAACGATTAAAGAAGCCTTCCCCCCCCGATTCATTGGCTGAAGCGGTTGAACTTCTCTGGCACCGGCCACCTATGCATGGTCACCACTTACGCTGCTTCAGAATAGATTCAAAGTTAGTTTCTCGTGGACTAGTGTATCTTGGCGTGTGACGGCTCCTCCCCTCCCCCCCCCCCCCCTTCTATCTACTATTATTATTATAATCAAAAAGAAAACGCTAAGCCACAAGGACTATACAGCTCTACTATACACCAGATCTTGGCTACTTCGCAGGGAAAGAATTGTAATTCTGGCCTCCTTAAAATCTTTCTTTTTTTTTTTTTTTTTTTTTTTTTTTCCTCTCTTCTCTTCCTGGTGTGAGGAGTTAGGTCTGAGTTACCACTTGAGGGGTTAGCATACTTCTATAAACCATTTCTTGTTGTGGAGAGCTGCATTTTCTTGTGCGTGGCTTAACCATCGGGTCTTCGCTCAGATGCGGCCTGGTCTGAATCTTAGTGTCGACAGGCAGAGGGGCCCTCTTTTTTTTTTTTTCTCTCCACCTTGGACAATGAGGTTTTGCAGTGGATAAGGACCCTTTAGTGCGTGACCCTGGTGGTTGCCTTTATTCCATGGAGCATACTTGTCCCCTTTTTCTCTCTCTCCTCTCTCTCTCTCTCTCTTTTTTAGTCAAATAGATCTAGGAAGGGTTAGCCAGTCTCTAGGCTGTGGAGTTTTGTTACTGCTAAAGATTGTTAGTATGGACAGGAAGGGGGGGGGGAGAGGTGTTTACTGTCAGAGGCGAAGAGCTTTCACTATAAACTAGTATTTAATTTCTTCTTGGCCACGTGCATTAATGTCCTTGAGCGGCAGGCCCTAAGGACGTAATATTATCTTAGTTTCTCTGGCAGACTTTTAAGTTATTGGTTTGGCAGGACGTGGTGCTTGGTCCTCCAGCAAGAAGTGTCACTTTAGCTTGTACCGAGAATCTACCGATAATTTAAACTCTGCTGGTGACCCCCCCCCCGCCCCCATCTCCTTCAGTTAACTGAAATACCATTTAAACTGCTTACCCCATGACTGGCCTTAATTTTAATCATGGTTATCGTTAACTGGGGAATTTGTAAGGCTCTTGCAACTAGTTTCCCAAAACTACCAGTTTTTAAAGTCTCGAGTACTTGTATATATTAACTTAATTTTTTTTTTTTTGGGGGGGGGAGGGTGAGCTAGAGCGCTTTAGCAGCGGGTGTAAGTCTCTAGATTCAAGAAGGCAAAAATTTTTCCTGATCGTGCATGAGCACTTAATTTCTAAGGATTGATGACCCTTGGCTCAATTTTTCTTCAGTGCCATGTATTATGAAATTTGGTGTGCCCAATAGCCTTAATTTTTTTCCCCTTTCCTGTTGTCTTCTCCCTCTGAAACTGGGTCACATGTCCATAAAATGGAGAAAAGGGGGATAGACGTCCTTTTGTAGAAAGACTTCTACAAATGAAACGCCATACTGGAGCTGAACCTATAAGGATCACAGCCTGGAAAATAGTACCAGGTTGAATGGGGGGAAAAGGGAAAGGGATTATTATAATCAAGGGGAAGCGCTAAACCCGTAGGATTATACAGAGCCGGGGGGATGTGGAAGGCATTCAGGCTTAATTCGGGAACTGAAGCACAGATCAAATTCCCTAAATCAAGAGCCCCTCACCAACTTCAAGGAACAATTTTTTAAAGGGTCCCTTGACAAAGGCAATGTGCCAAATGCCCTAATTCGAATTTGTAAAACTTGCTCTAACGCACTCCTATTTGCTTATTTGTAGTGAAGCCAGAGTCGAGATGAGTGATCTTTTGATCAAAGGACCTTAACCTGGTTTTTCCCTTTCTTTGGACTGAAGCTGAACACCTCTGAAGATTGAAAGTTAATCTTTAAAAATTAGGAGTGTTTCTACTCCCCTTTCTACCTACAAAGGGTCATGATGCAATTCTTTGCATTTTTTTTTTATTTTTGGAAAGGGAGGGGAAAAGTTGAGATGGTCTTTATTCTCCCTAATCTTGTCAACACTGGACTGGCAACCAGCCCGCTAATTATGGTGCTTCTTGCAAATTTCTAAACTTTTCTTCATTTATCTAGGTGCTTTTGTTCCCAGTTGAGCCTATGTCAGAGGTGAATGTTTCATCTTTGCACAATCAATGTGATGCCAGTTGTCTGATACTTTATCTGTCTCATGACCTTCACTACTACATACATACAAAGATTAACAGTAGTAATAGTATAGAATAGTGGCAATTTAAATAAAAAAATGCCCCCTTTCCTCTTTGTATTCACTCTTGGCTTCTCATTTACCCTCTTTGTCCCTCCATCTTTTTCTTTCCCCTTGGAAGTTCCAATGATTACTGTTCACCAATTCAGTGTGAAAGCTCTTCAAACTGTAGCTTCTCACTTTTTCTTAACCACTCAAGATCTCATTCTCATGCTGTTGCAGTTTACACTGATGGTTCAAAATTCCTGAAGTCTGGTTGTCAGCACTGCAAAGCCTTTTTCATAGTTGCATGCAATTCTCAATTGTTATAAGCATTGCATACCTGCCTACCCAACATTTATTGTGGTTGCAGACTCCTTTTTAGTATTTTTACAAGCTATCCATAAATTTGATTCTCATCAGCTTCATACATGACTCTGGTTGCACTATATTTAAAAGAAAAAAAATGCGTACTTTTCTGGGCCCCCGGAAGTGCAATGTTCAGGCAACAAGCAGGTGGACTCTGCTGTGCAGTTATTTTGTTCATGACTTCATTTTATATGGGGATACTCTGTTCTCAAACTATACTGCAGTAATCTCTAGACAGCTTTGAAACTATTGATAACTGTTATCATTTTGATTTATAAAAAAAAAATTTGTATTGTCAAACCCTTGTTTGGGTTTCTGATCTTATTGCTGTAGTGTTTTGAGAGACTACAATCTCCTGCCTTCGAACTGAACACGTCTTTCTCTTGGGTGTAGTAGAGAAATGCCAGCACCACTCTGAATTGTAGTTTCCATTTGTCATTTCACCTAATAATGTCCTGTAACAGCAACAATTTACCTTTCACATCTTCATTGGCTTTTTGCATGCACTTTATCTGGCCTCACTGACATAATAACTTTTGTGCAGACTCCCTCACTATCAGCAACTGCTTTTTAGCGTCAAATTTGTTTATATTTCCCCTTTAGCTCTCTTCAATAACCCTACTAATTCTGCCTCTTGTATACTGGTCTGATCTAAACATATTTAATCTTTAGCACATCCAGCCCTGTAGTGCTGCATGACCCTTGTGGTTTATTGCTTAGTTTAAATTGTAATAGTTCAGATGCCCCTCCCAAACTGCAAATATCCCCACCTCTGCGCATTAAACCTATAAAGGTTGTACGGTCCCTGGAAATGGAAAGCCATTGAGGTTTTCATACATGGAAAAAGTGTAGGTCCAATTCCTTGAATTCAGCCCCCCCCCCCCCACTGGCTTCAAAGAAAGCTCTCGAATAATAATCCTTTTTGTATGCAACGAGATAAGGTTTCGTTCGGATTTTTTAACCCCGGGGGGTTAGCCAACCAGGATAACCCAAGAAATTCAGTGAATCATAAAGGGGCTGTCGAACTTATTTCCATTGGGGTCCTCAATCTTGTCCCCCAGGATGGACCCACACCAGTCGACTAACACCCAGGTACCTATTTGCTGCTAGGTGAACAGGACAACAGGTGTAAGGAAAACGTATCAAAATGTTTCCACCCGTCGGAAATCGAACCCGGGCCCTCAGTGTGTGAAGCAGTTTTAGCCCCCCAGGTCTGGTTTTATTTTCTGATGCATTGACTGAAATATCTAGTAATTGCATTCATGGAAGGCCCAAAATGAAAGCTCAGGTAAGGCAGGATGGCTCATTTCCCAGTCCTTCACCAACCTCTAGGTACCCCTTGTAAAAGCTATTCATTTTCAATACGCAAATGGTCCAAGTCCCGACCAAAACGTTATAAGCCTGTGCGTGGGCTATTTGTGCGTATTTTTTTTTTTTTTATTAAAAAAAAAAAAAAAAATTCACTGCTTTTTTTTTGATCAGTCTGCATAAACTACTTTAACCCTTCAACTGTTTTGGTTGTATATATACATCTTATGAGCCCCAGTTTTTGACGCACATACAGTGGAACCTCAAATTTCGAACATATCGCTTGTCGAACTCTTTTTTTCGAACCAACTTTGTCCCTATTATCGAACTCGCCCCTATTTTCGAACCGCCGGTTATCGGACCTGTCTGGCAGCCCGCTCTGTCAGCGTCCCCGTGCAGGCACTGTGAGCCAGTCTGGTTTTGTTGATGCTTGAGTGAACACTAACCTGCAACTCTCATTCAAACATTTAGATTTTTTCATTGTTTAGTGCTTGTGGGACTGAAATAAGCTACAATAGGCAAAAAGAAACTTGCTAGTGGTACACTTGTGGAAAGTGAGAAACACCATAGATGTGAAGGAAATCCTCTTCAAGGGGGCTCCTTGGCGTGGTGAAGAGGCTCTTGGTCTGAGGAATTAGACCTGTCGGTCTACTTCCCCCGCCCAAAACCTAATTACCCCCCCAATCCCCCGTTCCCTATCCCATCCTCCCCTTTTTCCTTTCCTCCTCCTCCTCCCACCCCCCCTTTTCCCTTTTCCCTTTTTTTTTTTT